CGAACAGACCGAACAGACCGAACGATTGCAGTGTCTTCCAAACAAAGATCAATGCTAACGAGTTGGTGACTAGTCTTTTACTAAGTAGCACAGTTCCAGACGATCAAGCTTATATCTTTATCGATAGTGAAGCAGCCTTGAAAGCAATAGCATCTAGAATAGTGAAATCAGGACGTTGGCATCACCGTCGGTCTATCAACGTCGGTCTATGCTGGATCTTTGGTTGCACCAATATTGAAACGAATGAGTCGGTTGATGAGATGGTGGCCAGATACGGCTCTGAGATCCAAATTGACGAGGCGGATAACTCCGTACATTATGATCGTTACTAATGACTCGCGGAACAAGCGCGAAGACCGTGAGATCTTAAGATATTATGGCCGCGGAAAAAGACGAAAAACCGCCTGAAACTCATTAGATCTGCAGTAAGAGTCCTTACCGATATCATCACGGGACACTATGCTATAGCAACAATGCTTTCACGTTGGCGAATACCAAGTGATTGACTCTCTGAAGAAGCTGCCGCGATGAGGACATTCATACACGCCTTTCTAACCTAACCTAACCCAGTGCAACTTCTTACGTTCTTTAACTTAACCTCTACCGTTTTCTTGCTGTCTCTTCTAATTTTTTTAAATTACGATTTGTTACGAAATGGTTTAATTGGATTTGCTATACATACTTTTCACTTCAACTGACCCATTTGTCCTTAAACGTTGCGCCTTGATGAGCTATGTACATAGACCTCAAAATACATTTTCTGCGACTCGGTCGGCGTTTTTTCGGACGTTGGGTGACCGTCAGTTAGCCCAACCCGCAACTTGAACTTCCTTTTACTTTAAATTTATTTTATGTTAATAACTTCGCTTAGCTCATTGTATGAATACCCCTAATGCGTAATACTAAGGTACATAATTTACATAAAATTAAAATAACGTAAATATTTATTTTTGGAAATACATAATTTAAATTTGTTTAGTTAGGAAGCATATTTGTAAGTAGTATTTGTATCTATAAGGAAAGCTAAAATTAAATATATTTTCTTTTAAACTAAGTAAATCGAAGTAAAGCTTAAAAATGCGACCAAAAGCTCGTTTAAACGGCATTCGCTAAAAGTGCGCATAAATAGAAAAGTTTATACAATTTACCAGAGGCCCTAAGGGATATTTTGCGATATTAAAACAAATATTTTTAGTATTTGATTAATGCACTCTACAAAAACCTTTACAACGTATTTTAAAAATACAAGTTTTACTGTTAGTGTTTTATTTTTTTTTTTTTATTTCTTTTGATTAAATATCACTTAGGCCTTTGTAAATGATAATGATAAATTTCATGTTTGCTATCTTATTTGATGTACGGTGGCGGGCAAACAAATAGACACGCGACATTTAAACAAGTTTTGGCTATTTTTGTTTTGTTTATTAAATGTTAATTTTTATTATGAAAGTGTAGCTCACTATCTAAAAAAAACATGTAGGTCAACATTTTAAACTTTCTAAAATATTTAAAAAAATTCCACGAATTTCAACAAATGTTCATCAAAATTTCAAACTTTTTATTCAGAATTTAAAAAAAATTGCCGGTATGCAGTTTTGTTGCCCATTAAATTCTAGTACAATTAAGTTCAAGTTTGAAGTAGCTACGACTTGCCGTTGATTTTTGGCAAATTTTTTTTTGCTGACGGTGTTGTGCATTTTCTTCCATATAAAGAAATGGTCGAACGTACATTTATGTACCTACATATACTTTATATGGGAGAAAATACGTAGCACCGCCAGAAAAAAATGCCAAAAGTCAACGGTAAGTAACTGCAAACTAGCAATTTATTTTGTGTACTAAAATCTAATTGGCTAAAAAACTGCACACCAAAATATTGTCTAAAAATTCTTACTAAAAAGCTTGAAATGTTGTCGAATATTCCAAAGTTTTGTACAAAGTTTGAAATTCCGATTTGCCTGGTTTTCTTTAGATAGTGTGCTATACTTTTATAAAAAATAATGAACTTTAAATAAACCAAAGAAAAATAGCTAAAACTTGTTAAAACGGCCCACTGTATGTTTATAGTTGCTTTTATTTATTTTCATTGACTTAATATTTATTATTAAATAGTTTTTATTTAAAGAGAAAATATATTGTACACTGACTGCTGCGGAAACTCATAAGGATTTATTTTTATGAGGTTCTAAATACATAGGTAAATATGTATGTGTCTATATAACTTAATTTTTATTTAAATTTGGCAAATTAGCTACAAAATTTTTCATTATTTGGAGGCATAAAACAAAAAAACATCAGCTTAAGAATGCCGGAAAGTGCTCTGTGTCGAGTGAACCTCAGTCAATTCGGCTATCCAAGGAACGTAGACAACAATCTCAATATCCTTTACTACGGAATGTGGTATACCCTCAATCACATTTGATAAGATATACATTAGGGTGGCCCAAAAATGTTTCTCCTCAGTAAGTTTGTGGTAAACAATTTTGAAAAATAGGGTTGCCAGATATTTGAAAATTCAAAATTATTTAAAGCTCAATAAAATATTTAAGTTTCTTCATCAAAACTAAACGTATTTGAAGATGTTTATTAATTTATTTTTGAACTGGGTTGCCACCTTTCTAAAACATAGAACAATGATTATTAAAAATGTAAGCGTATTACCACATTATGGGTATCACGAAAAAATGTATTTTCCCTATGTAAACTTCAAAGCCCCGGCGGCACGGGTAAATATTAACCGATTTCAAAAAAAAAAATATGTGTATCTTTATTTTTGATTTTCTTCAATTCTGGGGGTGGCCACAGGAAAAATCAAAAAAGTTGATTTTCATATGTACTTTTGGGCAACCCTAATATACATATGTATAGTGTTTTGATATCAACACGACTGGATTAATATGACAGACCAGGGGGGCCTGAGCAACAAAACTGATGCTCTTAACGGCCAGGAATAAGGTCCCTAGCTTTGAATTACCAAAGCTGAATGTCTAAAGCCTACGATTCTCTAAACAGGCGAAGTGTGTCTGAGGCATACTGGTTCTTAACCGGAGTTGAAAAATAAATACTGAAGAGAAAGTAAAGTGAAAGCGACCATTGTCAATTAATCGGCTTTTTGGGAAGACGTTGGATTCGCTATAGCTGAAGGCTGTCCTATTTTAGAACGTAATGGCTTACATCTCGGCTAGCTAGGCGGCCGCTAAGACCTTGAAGCCTTTTACGACAAGATCGAAACTGATGAAGGAGTATAGGACTTTTTTAAATGAAGTAAGTAGTCAGCTAGATTTAGCTTCGGTCCCTGATCATCGCAACATTACCGAAAATGAGGCTGAACACGAGTTAGCCAGAGAAGGTTCCACATTGGTATCGAACGAGGAACGGATCTCAACGGCTTTTGTAGCACCTTCTTTGCAAATGGCTAGCAGGAATACACAAGTGTTTTCGTCACAATTCTAACCTAACCTAAACATAATAGACCTCACCACGCACCAGATTCAATAAACTTTTATACACTTGGCTTCAAACTTGAAGAAGAGTTGGCGGAGGAGTTTTCTCACTCAATTGAGGCTAACTAAAGACATATTTTCCGCTCACTGACCACAAAACTGTAAATATCACCCAAATGGCAGCACGGAATCTCGCTCAAAAGCCCACAGAGAGAAAATAAGTTTTCATCTTCTCACAAAGTCAGGGAGCCGTATAATCTATAGGCTATGCAAAGTTCCTCGCCGAGTGCCGTAGATCTCTGAAAAGAATGGCCGAACACTATAACATAATACAGTTGAACACTCTAAAACTCAAATAATGTGGACACCTGAACACCGAGGCTTTGAGATTCGTTTCAAAGCTAACGATTTCGCAAGAAAAGGTACGACCATTCTCTCGCCATGAAAGAGCGCGGTAGGTAGTACCAATGGTAATCTTTAAACAGTTTATACAGTATGGTATATCGATGTAATTGTCTCGAGAAGACAAAAGTTCATGACCACAAATACCCCGTTCTAGTACTTACCCATCAGATCATCTCAACTTCATTAACATACTAAATTAAATAGGAAAAATATAAGTAAAATTAAATAAATTAGTTTAAAATAATTCTTTAGAATAATCAAAATATTTTCTTAGCAAAAGTCTAATGGTGTCTAATGAGCTTTAATTTACCTACATCAGGGTGGTACGTAAGGGTGTCAAGAGCTGAGGACTGGTAAGTAACAGCGAACAATGAATCACTGTTTGATGAGGTTTTTAGGTTGGTGGAGTCCATGTAGCCTGTTGAAACCACATACTGTCCTAGTCCATTTCATCTAATTCCGGGCATAACAATTTGGTTATCATGAACCAATAACCTTCACCGTTCATCGAAAAGCGTTACCGGCAACAGTTTCGAAGAAGTACGGTCCAATGACTCCGCCAGTGGCGAATCCAGCGGGGGGTTTTGGGGGTTAAACTACGTGTCAGTCAGTGGCGGACCAACGGGGGGTATTTTAATATGGCGCATATGTATGTATAATATGGCGTCTATGTATTAAAACACCCCCCGTGGGTCCGCCACTGACTGACACGTAGTTTAACCCCCAAAACCCCCCGCTGGATTCGCCACTGGCGGAGCCATTGGACCGTACTTCTTTGAAACTGTTGCCGGTAACGCTTTTCGATGAATGGTGACCGTTATTGGTTCATGATAACCAAATTGTTATGCCCGGAATTAGATGAAATGGACTAGGACAGTATGTGGTTTCAACAGGACGAGGTCACTTGCCAAACAGCGCATGAAACAATGGCCCAATTCCGAAAAACTGCGATCTTATTGCATCACCCTAAATTTGAAAAAGGATGCTCCACAGAAGCTAATGTTTGGAAGAACAAATACTTTCTCCAAAAGCATATTATACCTCCAAGTATCCACTAAAAATTATTTCATAACTAAAATTAACATACCTTTGTAAATACTACATACAGTTACATACTTACATAAATACTTTTATGAATAAATAAATTGTTGCTTATTCGCTACTTGTTGTGATGGGTTCGATTTTTATATTACTGGAACTTATATTACCGCTCGTTGCGCTGGATGTTATGCTAACTTCCGTATGACCGCCAGTCGTTGCTGACGTCGTCACTGTGCTGGTGCTACTTACAATGGTCGATGTTGCCGTTGTACCTGGCGGAGAATCTTCACTCGCGCCTACCAAAGCGGCCAAGTCCTCGGAGAACAGACGCGTAGGTGAGTAGGCGCTGCTGCGCGTTGTCTTATAGCCCATATCTAATCCCAGCTCGGTTAGTGTTGAGTGTAGATGTGACTCGGCGCTTGGGCTCGGGCGACGATGTTCAAGTAACGATGATGGGGATGCACATTTCGATTTTGTCGCTGTTGCGCTAACGATCGATGATTGATGGTGATGCTGATGTTGTTGATGTTGATGTAGATGCTGCTGCTGCTGGTGTTGTTGCTGCTGATAATGATGGCTGGAAGATGTTGTTGCTGTGGCTGGGATGGAAGCGGCTGATGTTGATGCGTGATGAGGCATGGAACTAACACCGTAACCCAGAGCATGTTGTTGCTGCTGGTGTTGTTGTTGCTGCTGCTGCTGGTGTTGCTGTTGCTGTAACACTTGTTGCTGCTGCATGTGTAGATGTTGCAATTGGTGCTGTTGCTGCTGGCTGAGCACAGCAGACGGATCACAACGCCCCATATGCAGAGCCATTGCCATGCTGGGTGGCAAATTAGGCGGCAGGCCAGGCAAGCCAGGACCGCATGGCGAGGGTGCGTGTCGTGGGCCCAACATTGAGGCGGCACCAGGATTCGATGTAGTACTGAGCGCAGGAGATATACTCGTCTTTGGCAGCGGTACCGAGCCATGTCCGCCGGGCGCAGCACCACTCGAGCCGGCTGCGGCTGCGGCGGCTAAGTGTGGCTGTAAATGCGGTGGCAAGTTAAAGAGGCCGGGGCCTGGCGGACCCTCTGACGGATGTTGGTGTTGAACAGCTGCCGCCAACTGCATTTGCTGGCGAATGTTATGCGCAACAGCTGCCACAGCGGCAGCCGTAGCCTCCTGTGACATTTGATCACCGGTGGGCGTCGGTACACCATTCGGGCAGGGTCCACTCATGCCGGGGTAATTCATAGGGCCATCCTGAAATGGAAACATGGGCTAGAAATACTAATACAGTTAGTAAAGCTGCGTATAACCAGCTAACGATACAAAAAAAAGAGCGCAATCGAATGTCCACGACACTTACCGAATGTCGACCATAGGGTAAATGCGGTACCAAACTATCGTCCTTGAGGTCCTTTGCATCGCGGAAGACAACCGTTTTTATGACACCCTTAATATGTTCGTCCGGCCATATGCCGAGTAATATGCGCTGCGGACGCCCACGTCCTTTGGGTCGCAAATCGGGACCACCATCGATTGAGGGGCCAAGCATATTGTGCACGCGATTCGCGTATAGGACAAACGTCGGATAGGGTATGTCGTACTTGCGTGCCGCCTGCGAAAGTGAGAGTCCCTCTTTTAGTACGCTAAAAATAGCTTCGGCCATTGTTTCGGGACGCCATGACTTGAGTGGGCCACGCTCGCGGAAGCGTAGATGATGCATCAAACTCTGATTGGTGTTCCAACATTTCTGCCACATGGATTGCAACTGGTATTGATAGCTGTCTGCTGGAAGGGAAACATGCGAGAATTTGAAATGTAGTAAGTCATTGATACAGATGTTAAGTGATAGAAATTGATAGGTTACAAGGATATTAGACTTCAACAAACTTTTTATTTATCTTTTGAATATAGGGTCAGACTGAGGGTTTTGGACTTTTTTGTTGGTCCAGCAGAAGAACGCTTAATCGACCATGTTGAGAACGACGGAAGGTACGTTTCCGGTGTGTTAGATATACATATATACATACGATTGGTCGACCTACCCTCGACTTGGATCACTATTCTATTCTAGTGGCAGCTAACATACGGCAACGCTTCTGTACAACAAAGAACTTGCGTTTTAGTACACAAAGAAAGTTGGATGTTGAAAAGCAGCAATCGTAACAGACAGCCATATTCGCAAGCATCTCTCTCTCCGGTTCTCAGAGGGCACTTTTCAACAAACCAACTTGTGCGAGTAGTAGAACCACATATCTCACTCATCGTGTTTGCCAAAAAGTAGTGAGCGAGCCTGAACGAACAACTGGTACGACCAGTAGCTCGTTGCTGTAACTCTTATCTACCGATTATTTCTCTACTGGTGGAGAATATATGTCAAACATGTGCTATTTTGGACTGAGTAGACTACTGAGAAACAAAGTCCTCTCTCGTCGCATAAACGGAGAATATAGGAGGACAGAGATGTTTACTCCGTATGTATTTGTCAGATTTCAATTGAAGTTGGTATTTAGGGGGTTTCGCTATCACTGATTTCGAAATATACATATATTAAATTTTCAAAATTCAAAATGGCGGACGACTTAAAAAAAACATGTTTCATTGTTATGAAACTTTGTGTCCAGTGGCATTCGTCGTCGCTGATTTCGAAACTGGTTTTAAGTTTTCAAAATTCAAAATGGCTCCAATACGGCGGACGACTTTAAAACAAATTATTGATTTCTATGAAATTTGGTATCCACGAGTATTCATCGTCGCTAATTTCGAACCTGTTAATAAATTTTCAAAATTCGAAATGGCGGATCCCATATGGCGGACAACTTTTTTAGAATAATTATAGATTGTAATGAAACTTGATAGCAAACAACTCTCGCAGTCACTGATTACGAATTTAATATTTGATTTCCAAAATTCATATAATTTTATATGTGCCTCTGTTAAATATTTAAGTGAAATTGCAAATTATTCTACCATCCCCTTTGGCTTTGTAGCCTCTTGAAAGCTGAATATATTGAAATCACCGGAATAGGCACAAGTGTTGTGGGTGGTGCCCCCCCCCCCTGTGACTCTCACACCACCCTCACTCAGCCTCTATCGATGGCGCGCCTTCGTTGTCGAGGCCCCTCTTTGCTGTGCAAATGTTACTTTGTTATGCAATTAGTCGATTTAGTTAAAACTTGAGAATCATTTATTGCAAACTACAGTCATTCATATTGTTACATTGGTACATACTACATATATATTGGGGCATTGGTGCCTACTGGAATACATAAACACACACACTTGGCTATACACTCGCTTGCACACTAGCAAGCATTTAGGGTTTGAGCTCGAGCATTGCACCTCATTGATATGTTTCCTTCTTCTACATAGCATACATATCATACAAAGGTATAGGTTTTTTTTGCGGGGATTGAGTGGAAAACTTTGCTAAGGTTTGTCTGCGCGAATGGTTGGCTAAAGGCTTTCATATTCAACTTTCTTTGTCTGTAATCGTACAGGCACATATGTATGTATGTACCTGCATACATAAATTTGAAGTCATACATACATGTGTAGAATTTGTTTATTAATATGCTCTTATACTATTTGCTTACATATGTACATATGAATGTATGTACATAAGTATGCATATATGTAGGTCGATTTTAACAAGTCAATGAATGTTGAAAATGTGCGACAAAGCACGATTCTAAAACTTGCATACATATGTACATACATATTTATGTATACGCATACTTAAATAAATGCACGAATGTTAGTACATATACGAATATAAGAATGTAATAAGAATGCGTGCCGTACAAAATCAAACAAATAGAATAATATTGAATAATAAGTGCAATCGCCACTTCAGACAAGTTAGAGGCGAGCAGAAGATTGCGCTAATTGAATTCGAAAGGTATTTTTTATTTAATTTACAACGAAACAAAATGCGGAAGCTGTGTTTGTGTCTAAATTTTATTCGAAGTATTAACTAAATGAACTTATTCTTTTTACATCTTTCAACTGATTACCTCTAATGATCGTCTCTTTCTTTGCAGGCCAAAATGATGGAAAATTCGCATGCTTGGATGGGTGCATCGAGCTCTTCAACAATTGCAGGTTTGTATGAAGCAATATAAAGTCGTATAAAAACTGTACATATGTATGTAGAGGTTTTCAGGGTCGCTGATTACGAAATTGATATTATATTCACAAAATTCAAAAGGGCGGAAATTGTTACTTATACGTCATGTAGTACTACGAGTATGCCACACAACATAATTATTGTCGTCTTTCCTTGCTCAAAACATTTATCATACAAAAAAATAATTTCTCATTTTCATTTGCCTATTTACCATTCTTTTATTTACCCATCGATTTTCATCGTTAGTAACTCGATTTTTTCGTAAAAGAAAGGCTTTAATACAAATGAACAAATTGACGAGAATTTTTTTATTTTTTTTAATTTTCCCTGTATCACACAAAATATCTTAAAATTTTGACGTGATACGGATTTTCTAAAAACATTATCGTAATCTAGAGATCAAAATTATGTTTAAGCGTTTGACCGTCTAGCTGAAATATTTTTGCCTCCCTATTGTGTGATGAAATCGGTCATAATTTTCAAATTTCTTGATTTTAATTAACGGGTGATTTTTTAAGAGCTTGATAACTTTTTTTTTAAAAAAAACGCATAAAATTTGCAAAATCTCATCGGTTCTTTATTTGAAACGTTAGATTGGTCCATGACATTTACT